AACGAACGAATACTTCAAACCTTGTTTGGGTTCCAAACAAAGATCTTTAACAAACAGAACTCTTCAATCTACAAGCTCTAAAAGTCATTGATCACATGAGAGCTAATAAATAAAACCTATATTAAAACGGTATACTCTTGATTCTCATTTTCTCAAAAATAAAATAAAAATTTCTGTAGTGTTTTGGAATATGAAACTGAGCGAATTGTAACTAAAAAGAAGGGTACAATAATGTTTTTTTGGTTGAGTGCAGTGAGAAGAAACGAAAATATATATAATCCGAAAAAAAAAAATTAAAAAAAAATCAAAAAAAAAAAAAATAATAAATTCTTGTTGTATTGGAAAAGTTTGCCGAGAAAATATAATAAAAATGTGCCAATATTCACGTCCAACTCTATATGCCATAATAAAAAATATAGATGGTTCCGTAAAAAAAACAGAAATAACCTAGGTGTAATATAATGGTAGCTCCTCTACGATTCTCACCTGAATCAACAGTCTTTTTCAATTAAAATTAAATTATGCTGAATTCAGATTTCGTAAGAGCATTTCAATGGCCGAATTAACATCACCACCAGCGGCTAGTAAAGCTCTTATATTCTCAGCTTGATCCATGAAACCCATTTCTTCAAGAGTTTGTAGTTGTGCCCTAAAACGCGTTTCAGGAGGTTCAGAAGTTGTTGTTTGTGATGCTCTATTAAAAATTTAAACATTAGAGTTTTTTATTATTTTATAAAAAACAAAATCAATGATTTACTCATCAACTGTACCCAAGCGATTGTGACATATTCGTGAAAAATGGATTGGGTGATCCGAAAAGAGATGTAGGATAATAAGATTGGGGCATTTGCTGACGAGATGCAAATTGTGACGAAGTCATAAATCTTTGCATAACTTGCTGGATTCGTCTAGAGTATTCGGGGTCGGTTGACATTGATAAGTTTTGAGGTATATTAATATTAGAAAAATTTTGCGTGGTTCCAGGTGCATTCGTGAGAGACGTTGCATTAGGTGTCTCATTTGTCTGAGAGTTTTGGGTCGTTGATGGAGTAGTGGAGCCTTGTGTAGAATTTGCAATCCTGGAGGCTGATGATGGCGATGGAAAAGGCTATAATAGTTGACAATTTTTTTTTTTTTTAAAAAGATTTTGATATAAAAAATAAATAAATAAATATATTTTTTTTTGAACAATGAAAGTAAATAACATTTATAATACCATTTGGAAACCCATAATACCGAAAGATGGTATTCCTAAATTTAAATCAAAAACAAGTTACGTTAAGATTATATATAAATATTATCTTTTGAACAAGGAAAAAAAATCATCTTAAGTTGGATTTTGACTCCATACCTCCAAACATGCTTGTTATATTCCCTGATGTTGACGAATTGTTATTGTTACGTGGTGCCCATGGGTTTGGCAACGGTGTAACATTTATGCGTCCCTCTGTACAAAAAAATCATGACAATAATTAATTAACAAATTACAAAATACGAATTGATTTGATTTAGCTACCTGGAGGACTTTCGACATTCAACATTTCAGCTAGACGTCGGTTTGCTGCTTCTGAAGATTGATCATTCTTTAATCGTAATAACGAATTGTTTTTAGGTTTATCATCCATTTTAATCAAATCATGATGAGAAAACACTTAATTATCAAACATACATTTCTACCGGCAGACTCAAGTGGTTCCTGTAAGGTATGGTACATCCGCCGTAAATGATTAAAACCGCCTGGTATTGTTTCAAGGTTCGCGAGAGCTCGATCTGATTATGAAATAAAGGTAAAATCAATTATACTTTCATTGGAAAAAAAACATTGGTAAATTAAGAATCAAAGTAGAAATATCACCATTATTACGCATCATTTCTCTCATTAATTCAGGATTACGTGCCATGTCCATTGTCTGGAAATAAATAATTACTGCATAAGTAAAAAAAGAATTAAAAATATTGACGCTATAACATCAAAACTAAATTTAAACCTGACGGATGAAGGATGGGTCATTCTGTATTTATAAATTAATACGCAATTGTCAATAAATGCATGATTAAAGAATATATAGAAACTTGATAATTTTTTTTTGATTTTACACCTACAATAATATGACCAATCTCGGGATTTCGTTCTATCATTTGTCTCATAGTAGGATTTTGCATCACCATGGATCTCACTATCTCTGGATTAGAGAGGAGATGCTAAAAAGTATGTATGTATAGGTATATAAAAATCATTAGAAATAACAAGTTGAGACAATTAATGGACAATTTTAATATTATATTGGGCTCCAACCTAGATAATATACCGCAGTTACGATTCATGAATGAAACGACTGCGGTATAAATAGTATAATTTAAAAACGTACATTCTATATTAGAATATTTATCGGGGTGGAATTTACAAACACGTACCCTAATCATTGGTGAATTCATCATACTTCTCATTAAATCTTGATCGAAATTGGCAAAAGGATTTGTTGTCGCAGAATTGGTACTTCTTTGACCAGTCGATGATGGTGGCACATTAGCAGCTTGTTCGGCCGCACGATTATCTGCTCCTCGAACCACATGTATTGTATGACCTTCTTTAACACCTGAAGAACGGAATTGTAAATGTATAAAAGTGTAAAGCAAAGTTAAATAATTATAAAATAATTATAAAATAATCTTTCTAAAAAGATATTGATAGAATTTAGATCATTGTCTTTGTCGGAATGGGTAATAAGTAATTAAAATAAAATAATATATAATATTTATTTTATTTATTATTTATTTTAACTTTGACCCACCATATAGGTCTACCATGTCTTCATCCTTCAGAACCCTCCCAGAGTAAACTAATCGCATACTATTAGCAGGTATAGTGGTACGTAAAGCAAGTTTTTCTTTTAACTGTTGAACCGTTAACTGCCCAGGATCAAATCTATAATCAAAGCCGTCACCGGTGGAAGGACGAAATTTAACGTTGATTAATTGCTCGTTTGAGTCTTCCATAATAAACAGTATAATGTTAAGATAATTAAAAGTATTGGCTTTGTCTCTGTTTTACTAAAAGGTCAGATAGTCTTGTGGAATGAGGTATAAGCTTTGAAAGAGTTTATCAGAAGGTTGAGACTTTGAGGCAAATGCAAAATTCCAACTTGCTTACGCACATCATTTTAGTGATAATTAAAGTTGTGATAATAAGCGTTGATTTGTTACTATCACATTAAATAATTTTCGACCCCCGTTACATCATTATATCTTTTAGTAGTAAAATTCAAAAATTCAAAACAGAAATTATTGATTTTGGCATATGTTGCACGAATCAGATATAAAAAAAATCTCTGGGTGGAATAAGAATATATTTCCTTAAATTTATTATTAAAACCATAAAAAACCTTATGATGCTGACAAAATAATATGTATCTGTACATGTGAATAAAATTGAATAAATGAAAAAAAATTATCTTAGGGAGGGGGTAATCTTGGATGAACATAATTAAACTATACTTTGGAGAGTGTATTATAAAGCATAAATTAAAATAAAGACACTAAAGTGGAAATTATTCATATCTGAATTAGATCTTAACTTATATAGATTAAAATCTTATAGGGGCAAATCTAAATCTTAAACTTCCGGAAGCATATAATTAAACCATATAAAATTCTATATAAATGTATACTGCAGTATAAAAAAATATTAAAAAAAATGAGATCGATCTTTAAAAAGTAAAATATTTTCAGTTATAAAAAAAAAAAGAAAGAAAGAAAGAAAAAAGTAGAAATGATAATATATGTATAAAAAATACAGTATATATAAATGTTTTTTTTTTTTTTTTGGATTTTTTCCTCAAGCTTTTTTTTGGATTTTTTTTGGATTTTTTTTTTTTTTGTTATATTTTGAGAACTTTTGTTACTGAGATCTATTCTTTTAGTTGATAAAAGGCATGTAATTGGCTTGAATGTATGCGTCTAATAACATTACAAGTAATATTGGGAGGAGCATGATGATAAAAAAGCATCCCAGACGTCTTGCAAGTCGAATAAAAAAAAATAAAAAAATAAGTTTATCAGAAGAAATAACAATTCAAAGATCTAAAAGTAACATAATCAATACTTACCTAATTCGTTCAAATTTGGTCATAATATGAGGTTGTTCGTGAGTGATCACTTGTAACTCTTCTTCTAATTCGGCAAAAGTTTCGTATAATTCTTGCAATTCTTCCTCCTTATCGCGTAATTGCTTTTCTTGTTCTTCGGTTGCCTTTCTTATTTTTTCTATCGCGGTCTTGATCACTGCATTCTAATGGAAAAAAAATTAACGCGTTTCATTACAAATGTATTTTGCAGATCGATGCGTAAAATTTGTATTACATAAGCTTGCTTATAAACGTAAGGCGCAGACTAACGAACTATAATATAAAATTGTTTCATTGTTCAATGAATTCTCATTTACCTTTTTAATGAGAGCTTCAACTTCATTATCGTCACCTGCTTCTAAATCGTCTTCAGCGGTGGATTCAATTCCATCAAATAAGCGAGAATCATGTTGCTGCCCAAAAAACGGAACAGAGAATTGATGGGACGACGAATGCATTTTGGATGATCCAACACTAAATTGTTCAAATTGAAAATGAAATGAAAGAATTCTTTCTTTAGGTATATGCATGCTGTCATACGACACAATGGTGTAATTAGAAAAATAATTACCTGAAATCTTCGTATTCTTCTTGAAATGATGCTTGAAATTCTTGCAGCTTTTCAATTAACTAATGAGTGAACAAGAAAAAAAGAATTAAGAAAAAAAATTAAGGTACTCGTTATTACATCTGCTCCCGCAACAAAGAAAGTTTTACCGAGAAAAATGAAATTTTTTTTTTTTTTTTTACCTTTTCAGCAGGGTAAGGTTGCTCATTAGTAATAAACTCTATGACATGTAATCCTTTCATTTCAGGAGCGAACATTGAGGTGGTATGAGAGTTCATTGCGGTAGTCATCATGAATCGTTAGAAAAAAATCTTTTCCTGTTTTCAAAATTTTTTTGTGTTTTTTTTTTTTTTTTGTTTTTTTAAAGAAAGAAGAATAAATAAAATGTTTGAACCAATATAATGGCAATATTTTAAATCCTTTAATTTATTTTTTAATGAGTTTTTTCGTTCGTTTAATGTAAGTTTTAACAGCGCGTTCAAGGAGCACGGTACAATGTCATAATAAAATGGAAGGTAATGGAATTATATAAACTTTCAACAAAGTCGAGAAGTTTCAAAGGACTCTTTTACAAGATAACTTCTCTACAAGTGTTTATATAGTTTTTGGAATAATAGGAATGGTCGTTTCGTTATACAGGAAAAGAAAAGGGAAAACGCGAAAGTTATAATGAAAAAAACAACGCTGTGCGAAGTTTTTGCAGAGGAGAATGGAAGAAAAACGGAGAGAAGAATTTGTATGACAAATGCAACGCCTCCTGTTGCGCCTGCAGTACTTAAAACTTTGAAAAAAAAAAAACTTTTTTTTTTTTCAAAGAAAGTTTTTTTTTTTTACAAGAATTTTTAAATATGTGCGGAGTCCACCTATCATCACGAACGGTATTAGAATTATACGGTATCTAATTTTATGCAGTTGACATTTTTGACAATTTAAAGTATAGAATTATATGGCCAGGTGGTATGGGTGTGGTATGATTGTGAACTTATTTGGTATTATTCTCGTCGCTTCTGGTTGTAAGGATTAAAGTTGATCGTGTTTTGTTGCCCGATTTGAATTACGCAGCCATTTTATCAATAAAAGTCCATTGTTTTAAAAAAATTTCGCTGTTGCACGTGGAGATGCGTTTTTATCCTGTTGTGGAAACTGTATGAATTTGCATATTGTTGTTCTGTAAACATCTATCAAACCTATCAAACAATAGATTATTAATCCGATTATTCGGTTTCCAATAAAACACCGAAAATCCTCTTCGGTATGTGATCATGTGGCCGTCGGTATTAAATTCTGTATAAATATCACCCTGAACTGTCAATGTCTGCCTATTACGGTACGCATTATTTTTTTTTTAATATATATATCATTTTTTTTTTTTTTTTTTTTTTTTTTGTTACTCATAAATTATTTGCTACGGCTCCCCCTTACATACATAATAACAATAGTTTGAAATTTAATAGATTTATTTTCATTTTTATTGGTGTATAACCGTTAATAATAATATAATTTTTTTTTTCCCTTAAAAAAAAATAATAATGAGGTCATCTAACGAAAACAATGATGAATTTTCAAAGAGAGTCCACGGAAAAACAAATATGAAAAAGGTATTAAAAGTCTCTTACAATTTACTTAAAGTTAATCATATACCTTCATCAAGCAAGTCAAACGTTGAAAATGAGAACAACAAAAAGGAGAAGAAAGGTATTCGGTTAAAAACTAGCATGAAAGCTTATTTGGAAGTAACAAGGCAAGGTTTTGAGAAACTATCTTGGTCTTCTACTACTAAATATAATAAGCAAAAAATAACGATTAAGGAAAACATGCAGACAATCAATGATTCATGTCTAGAGGAACAACAGCCCACCATTAATCGATTACCTAAATTTAACAAGGTTAATTTTGTGGCTGCTGTAGGCCAAGTATTTTTTAACAATACTGTCTTTCTTATGTATTATCTCTTACAATGGGCATTATTAAATAAAATTTAATTTCTATAAATATTTATTTTTTATAGGTGCCACAAATTAATCATAATAATGTCGACACGAAAGAAACGCTTGAACAAGTGCAAGAGATGCATCAGCTTATCAAATTATTACAAGACATGTTGGAACAAGAAAGAGGCAACCTATTTGAACCTGCAAAAAACCTTTTATTCATTCATACTCAATTGTTTCAATTAGAATTATCAAGAGATAACACTATGCAAGAAGCAAGAACAGTATCACAAGATGTTATTGGTAAATTAAGGGGTTACTTTAGCCAATTGGATAAATTTTCTCATCATTTCACAAATTATCTCTTTGAATTGTCAAGCATTTTAATCCCTTTAGCTAAAAGTGGACAAGCATCAACTACCATCGCTAGTATTGGTAAAATTATTGAAAAAGAAGAAGCGGAAGACGAACGCTCATTATTTAAAGTCCATGAAATTAATCATCTGGAAAATCAACGCGATTCTAGTTTAGAAACCGGAAAGAATATTGCACGTACAATAAAATCATACAAAAGTAAATTTAAAGAACAAGTTCACAGTTCGATAGGTGAAACTTTTAAAGTAACCCTTCAAAAATGTGGAGAATTACCTTTACAATTGTTGTTAGATCAATTGGATTTCATTTATAATGATTTAAAATTAGTGAAAAATGAGATTGTTCCCCACTTTCCTTCGCATTACAAGTTGCTTTTATTATTTGTGTTGGAGTATCATCGGAATGTTTATACGTGTATGGAGGAAGTTCTACATAATGATCTTGATGCAGGATCAATTCTGATTTTAATTAGGTGGGTACGACATTACTATACATTTATGGATAAAGAAATGCAACAATCTGAAGACATGTTGGAACCAACGTTGTTGGGTGAGCGAGAACAGGAATTGATGGATGAATGTCTTAAAATGATGCGTAGTAAATTTCAAGAATGGAAAACGAATCTGATCGAAAACGATATTAATGAATTTACAAAACGTCAAGATCGACCGGAATTAGGTTCAAATAATTTAGCGGGGTTACCTGGGATTCCTGTTTTGATTAACATGGTAAGACAGCAAATAGACGTTGCAACGGAATTTGCAACCTATCAATTACTGACTGAAGTAATCAATTATTGTTGTGAGATAATGACAGAAGTTCAATCAATATGGATTAGCGTGATGAAATCCGAATTTCAGCGACATTTGGATAATCAAGATATATCGCCTGAGGGACTTGTTATATATATCGTTGCATTGGCCAATGGGCAAATTGATTTCTCCAATTTCTTAAAACAATTTAAATCATCATTACCTGAAGAATATATCAAAAACGTTACTGAAGTACTTAATAATGTAATGAACGGTTTCTTAAATGTCGCGACGAATGCTATCAATACTATCTCGGATATTGTATATAATGACCTCAAGAATCCTTTTAGAGAAATGCACACTACAAAATGGTACGAAAGAGATCCAATGGCCGTGATTATTTTAACTCTCAAAGATTACATGGAGGAATGTCATTCATACCTAAATCCTGAAGTTTTTCATCAATTAATAATCCGCATACTTGGTCAGTTTGTAATAGCATATATTGAATCAATGCGTAATAGAACCGTTAAATTTAGGATGCCATATTGTCTTGATAAGATGAAACAGGATATTTGTTCGGTATCAGAATTTTTTGGACAATATATTGAAGCGCGAGAATTAAATTCACAACTAGATGTAATTTATAAATTACATAACTTCTTGGGTACTTCTAAAGAATTAGTTTATTTGGATTATTATACGCTTCGAAAAGCTTATGGTGATTGCCCAAGGAAATACTTGAAAATCATTTTATCAAAAAGAGATGATCTTAATCTATTTGCGGTGAAAAAAATTAATAAAATACTAAAGGATAAGGCCGCAGAAGCTGGAGAATATACTGGCGAACCAACTGTATTTAGTAAAATCATTATTAAAGATTTAGAGGGAAATGCTCGTGATGAGTTAAAAGGCGAATTTCATGAAGTATTTCATAATATGAAATTACGTTCAGTAAAAAAAATCATCTAAAGATATCTATCTACTGATTGCATGGAATATTGTCCAGTAAATTACGTACATTCAATGAAAAAAAAAAATCCCTTATAGATTTTTTTTTTTTTTTTTTTTTTTCACAATCGAAAATTCATTTTTCGAACAATATTTGCATATTCATCATTATAATAATAATTTTATCTAATAATTGTATTTATTTATTCACTTATTAAACAATCTTAATCTTAACCATTTTAAATTGAACTCGGTATTAACAAAATAACTTAATACGGTCAAAAAAAATATCGATATACATTGAAAAGTTTTTGGTTGTGATTTTCATCGTGCTTTGTTTGTATAAAAATGAGGTTTGAAGTTATACAACGCAGTAACAAAAATAAAAAGTAATACGGTCGTTGGTACAACATCCAAGCAAATGTTGTGTCATTATGACAATGAAATAATATACCTAGGCATTAGATCACATATTATTATTACTTAAAATTTTTGGTATTATTTTTAAAATTTAATATCCCCTTCACTAATATCACTTAAAGATAATAATTCCAATTGACCTTTTCCATTTGTATTTGATTGTAATAATTCATTAATGGTTCTAAATTGTCCAGGATCAATTGTACATATCTGCAAGATTTTTTAGTTTAATAAAGAGAAAAAAAAAAGAATTGATAATTAGTTAATTTCTTCAAATGACATTAAAATATATTATTATATTTACCAATTCGTACGCATCACCATAATTTTCATCCTCAATATTAGAAATCAAAGGTGTTAATTTTTCTTTAACTTTCTTTTCTTTGATAGGAGTAGTAATTCTTAAACGCATTTGTGCACGGGCAATAGGAATGATTTTCTTTTCTTGAAGTTGTTTGATAACTTCTAAAACTTGTGATTTTGTATTACGATTCACATTTACCGAAAGATGTAATTCACTCATTGCTTTTTCAATCATCGTGACAGTATATGGTCTTTTTGTTTCAGGGTTAACGCACTTTTCTGCAACCATGGTAGCAATTTCACGATAAATACTGTCAATCTGGTGTGTTCTTTCTTTATCACTAACTTGTAATTGTCCTTTTTCCAAAATCTATGTTCAAAAAGAAATTTTCATGGTGAAAGAAAATAAATGTAAATAATTTAAACGAAAATAAGTTGTTATAATATCATTACCTCCTTAATGATTTTATCTAAATCCTCAGATTTAAAACATTTCTGTAAAATGTCTTTTGGAGCTACTTCTCCCTTAGATACATTTGTAAATACATTATTGATTTGAATAACATTATCTAAATCCGTTTCCCTGTAATGCTTATGAATCAAAAATATTGTAATAAAAAAAAATGAAAAAGAAAAGTAAATTAGTTGATTGACTCACACTCCTGTCCTGTATTCAAGTACTTTATTTTTATAACAAGCAACTTCAAATCGCTTGCCACCTTTCTTTAGACGAACCACAGAAACGTTAGTAAGTCTTTAAAAGAAAAAAAAAGAATATATATATATATATATGTATATATTTTTCTTTTTAATTAGAACAGAATATTTAAGAAGAGGAAATATAGGAAAAGGATAAAAATTACACACTTTATTTGATTGCTAGGTTGGTTAAGTGGCATTTTGAAATGAATAAGTTAAGACAAAAACATTTTTCACATTTTTTATCATGCAACATAAAAAAAAATCAGATCATGTGAATTTTTTAAAATTTGAAAAAAAAACTTTCATTTATTACATATTTAAAGAAATTCATTACAAAATTATTACATATTGAAATATTTCGAAAAGCAAAAGCAAAATTATCCAACCAAAAAATTCATCACTAATGCTCAACGTTATCAATTTATTTTTCTTCTTTTGGATTTGTGAACGTTATCTTGTTGCAAATTATCATCAACCTTTTGAACGTAATTCCAGAGAGTTTTGTAAACGGACTGATTGAATCTAATATCAGCGTGATAATTTCTAACATACTCTTTCATCTGCAAAAGAGTGTCTTGATACCAAGCCATCTCTAAATTAGGAAATTTCGCGAGAATATAACAAAAAAACACGAATTCAATTGGAGCAAATCGATGATCTCTGGTAAAGACTTCATCATCAACTTTGATTAAAAAGTCCAATTCAGCAAAAACTCTACTAGCTTTTTGTTTGAGTTCCTGTGGTACAGAACGATCGTCCTGTAAATATTTGGTGATGGCACCAGAAGCCGCGCTGAACTTGGTCGGATTGAGTTCCATCATGTGAAGTGCTTGTACTATTAGTTGAAATGGTTTGCCGCGTTTATTATCTACAATCTTATTAACGGATGGGTATTGTTCAAGAAGATTTTTAGCAAGCTCCGCGATTGGAGACGAGATAACGTGTAATTTTTCTATTCATAAAAAATATATATATATATATAAATTGATATATTTTATATGAAGTTGATGTCAGCTTTTTAAACATTCATACCTGCCGTAGTCAAAGCCAATCCAAGTTGCACGCGACTAAAGATTTCTTGCTCTTGCTCGATATTCAGATCATAATACTCGACTAAAAAATAAATGATAAAAATTATCGAACTCGGTTTTTTAAAAAATAAAAGGTATTAAGATTGCCCTATACGTACTACAAACTAATTCGGAATTATCGAAATCATCTTTTTCTCCAATTGACAAGGCATTTGTATTTTGATCATCATCAATATTCTCATAATAAGTCTTCTTCGCTTTTCCTTCACTTGGGCAGAGATATGGAATTTCATTGTTCATAAACCTAGACAACAAAAATGAAATTAAAATAAATAAACATGAATGTTTAAAGTTTTTGTTTTATATTAATCATTTTACCTTCGAATTGAAGTCAATCTTTGCTTGCCATCTATACAAATACGTAACCATCTATTTCTATCTAATTTCTTGCAGGAGAATAAGATGGGTGGGACGTAATAATTTTTGAGAATCGAATCAATCAAATGACATTGTTTAGTATTATTCCACACAATATCTAAAAAAAATAAAAAAATGATTAATGAAATTAATTAATTATTTTTATTTATTTATTTGTATGTACCGCGTTGAAATTCTGGGTTCGTGTCAATTAAGCCTCTCTCCATCCAATCGTACAACTTGTATAGGGTATGATTAACATTTCTTGGTTTTGATAAAGCTTCATTCATCTTTTGATTTAAGAAAATTTGTTTTTATTAATTTTATGGTTAACAGAGTTGAAACCTTTTTTTTCTAAATAGGTGCTTTTTATTATATGTTGTATATTACTCATTACATTTTAATAAACTATTCCAAATATTACTCATTACAATTTACTTTCCAAACAGTCAGAATTAAGCTTTTTTTTTTACTTTTAAATTAACAAGAGTATTGATATACAGATTGAGGATAACCAACTTATAACTAATATATAACCAAAATCAATAACCTCTAGTTTATTTGCAATATTATCGCCCGGTACGAAAAATGAACGGGTATCGGTTGGAGAAAGAGTTTTTGTTGGGGTGGGAGTTGATTCGGTATGATTGCTTTCTTCAAGAGGAATAATTAGAGGAGGTTTTTCAACACCTTTCGTGAATGAAATACTAGCGGTAAATTTTGTTTCAAAACCATTAGGATTAATAACTCCCAAACAATTAATCTGTTCGGTATTAAAAGGAGGGTTAGATGTCCCTTCACATTTCTGCACAGGTTCGATACCACAAGATAATTCTGGTAGATATAATACATTAGGAGCATTTTGATCAATCAATGAACGAATAAATGTATAATTCGATACAAATACAAGTAATCCTTCTTTATCATAATGTGCTGGTCGATTTCCGATTTCATTTATGCCGAACCCATTTGTTGCATTTTCTGGTGTTTTCACCACTTCTAATATGTAACCTTTGTCGCGTAGAAAGATTTAATTTTTAGGGGGTTAGTTATGATAATGCGAATGTTGTGCACAAACATTTAAGAGATTGACATGTTTATTTACATCTTACAAAAGTCAATATACAAAAAAATACATACTGATATAATTTGTTAGAACTTTACTACAAGTATACCATGCTTGATATTCGGGAATTACACCAATGCCACTACTTGTGTCTCCTAAATTTTGAGAATATACCACCTAAAGAATTTTATATTTTGTTTCCTTTAGTTCAAATTATTTCCACCACGAGTGTTTAGGGAGTTCTTAGCGTACCTTTAATATTAAAGTGAGAATTATTAAAATCATAAAATTTTTTTTAATCATCTTTATTATCTGCGCCGATTTTTTTCCTTTAAAAAAAATTATTTTTTTTTTGGTCAATTTATCTTGCTTTATAAAAAAAATTGTTTTTAAGGGGCTGTGAATCTTATTTAACAATGAGGCGAAGTAATGTAAACATATTACTATAAATGATTTTTGTTAAACAAAGCAATATATATTACCTATTATAAAATGAACTATTTTAGTATGACAATAGAACAACTATACGATACTTCTTTAGAGACATACATGATTCGACATGAAAATTTATGCATTATTTTATTGGTTATAAAGAAAAATTCCATATTTTAAAATTCCCTCTTTCTTCTTTCTCTCATTCCCATCCCGCTAATAATTCTAAAAATAAATTTCCTTACTTGGAAACTTGTTCAAAAATTTATATATCCCACTGCAATGAGACACCCACACGGAAACCTTTAGTAAAAGGCGAAAGGTTTATACGATCTGCAGGTATCTCGTGGAAATGATGTGGATTTCATCTTGAATTCAAAGTCCATTTTATAAACATTTCAGAAAATATGGGATTTCTAATGACGTACTCTATATATTCGTCATATGACTTGGACAGTCAGACATTTGATTGAAATGAAATTAGCGGATTTTTAATTGAATCAATTTTATTAATAATTTTTATTTAAAATAGTTGCGCAATAAACTATCATATCTTTGTCTTTAAGTGCAAGCTTGCAAGTCTATGTATGTCTCTGTATGTCTATGTTATACGTGTTTTTTTTATTTAAATAATGATAAATAAATAAATTATCAAGAAACATGCATATACATATGATTATATATATTTATTTCAAACACCTTACCGTGCTTTTTTTTAGTATCAAACAACCTTTTTTGCTAACCATTCTTTCCATTGATCAAAAGTCCACCCAGAACTAATTTCATTATTAATTATATGATCGAATAAAACGGTGGGACTAACATGAATTCCTGTTTGTCTTCCCAATTTAATGTGTAACTTCAAGTCATTTGTGATTTTATTTCCTTCATTACGAGCTTTCTCAAATTCATCTACTACTGGTATATCAAGTAATGAAAGAAATTGAGAATAACTTGAAGCCATTCCAATTTCCTTAACATGTTTAGCCAATGATTCATAAATTTGTGCCCGACTCAAATTCTGTACCGATTCATCAAAGTATCTAAATACGGCATAAATAAAAAGTATGGTTATTCATTTATTTCATTTTACATCACCATTATTGTTTGCAAGTGTAAGTTATAAATTTATGCCTACTGTTTTTGAACATCGAATAACTTATCCGAGAACAGAAAAAACTTTGTTGAATCGATTTTCTCAACAGCGAGTGCAGCCTGAAATATATCGCTTTTATTAAAAAATGGACACATCTTGCATATTACAATTTCTAATTCAATTATATGATAAAATTTTTACCTCATGAACAACGGTTGAGAACGGATGCCAAGGTTGTACTTGGTGCCTAAAAACGAATTGTACTTTTCCGGGATAATTTTTTTCTATATATGGATAAACTTCCTAATGAACATCGATTATTATCAGTTATCACATTCCGTTAATAATTGAAATTTTGTCAAGAAACTCACATTTCGAACTCTCTTGTATAGTTTAGCAGAGAAAGGACACTAAAAAATAATATCGTATTATAATAAAATTTCTAAAGTGACTTTTTAAGTGAATGATATGCATGACAAACCAAGTAGTCCAAGTAAGCTTCTAAAACGTGTGGTGCAGTGCTTGCACCTAAACGATGACCTGGAGAAGTGAGAGACATTCTTAGTATATATAAAAAAAAGTGAAAAGTTAAATTGATAATCATAAGATATGACGGGGAAACTGCCGGGAAAGGTAAAGAATGAAATTCTCGGCAATTTTTGCATTGACTAAATTATGACTAATACTGGCTATTTATGACATGAAAATCATGCTAACACAATTAGATAGACTTACCTTAATAATTTTAGCATAACTAAATAATTTTGGCATAATAAAAATATATAATTCTAATTGTATTAAGTTATATATTTTTAAAATGGTTTACAATTTTATTTAATACTAAAAATCAGATTAATTTAATTCATTTTTACTATTATATTAAATTTTTATTAATTAAATTTTTAATTTATATAAAAATGTAATAAATAAATAGAATTAAATATATTAAAATAAATATGTATATTTAATAAATATTTATAATATTAAAACTTTATTTATATATTTCTTATTATATTCTTTAATATAAAAATTTTTTGATTACAGCTAATTTCTTAATTTATAAACCGTTAATAATTTTTTAGTTACATTTAATCACAATATCTTATAGTAAGTTTATTATATAATTATATTTCAAAATAATAATAATTACATTAAAATTTTGATCTATTATAAATATATAATAAATTATTCTAAATATATTTTTAAAAATTATTAATAAAATAAAATTTTTACAATAAAAATGAAAAAAACTTCAAAAAATGTTTTTTGAGTTTAATATTATTAATATACAATTTTTATAAAAAACAATTGTTAGACAGGGTAAAATAATTAAATGTTAATTTTTAGTAATATTTATTGATTACAAACTTTATATAATATTAAATAGAAAGGTAATTATTTATTTATTCAATAGAATAATAACTCAAAATTTTAAAGCTTAATTATATTTTAAATATAGAAACTTATCAATAGAAAGAAAAAAATTTAAAAAAATATATTTTATTTCATATGTTAAATATGATTTTTTTACTAAAATAAATTTAAATCAATAATTCTTTATATTACATGATTTTAAAACTACCTATTTAGAATTCTACCTATTATTTAGATAGTGTTATCCGAAAAATAGGACATTTATTTTTAGGTAAGAGGTTGAGTTCGTTATGTTATAAATTCTTAGTTGATTTGATGAAAC